CGATTATGCCATGTCGTATTCCACTATTATGATAGTAATTTTTAAAGAATAATAGTTTTTAAAAAATTATGGTTTTTAAGACCATACTGGTTATCTAGTGGTATAATCTTGTCTTTTGAATTCAGAATGTACATCAATGATTGAAGAAATTGGCGACTCTCTAATTACTACCTAATTGAAGAGGATCTGGATCCAACTCACAAAATAGAATTAAATATAAAATTCTCTTCCTCTATATTCTCTACCCCCATCCAATCATCCAATCATAGCGTTCTACTTTTAATTTGCTTTGGATCATTGTCTTTGGAAAATGTGCTTCCAAAGTACTTTGTCTTTTATTTCTTTTTATAGAACAAAATAACTAATTTATCCTTAAAGTATTGGTGGAATCTCAACTTTCTTTCGAAAGTATCAATTTACCTATATTACCACTTAAACTATATTTTGTGATTCAATATGGTCATTTTATAAGCACAATCAAATATTCAACAAATTAATGATGTGATGCTGTTACTTTGCATTTCTTCGTGGATTTTATCAATATTTCTCTTTCTTCCCCCATAAATAAAAAACTTAATTACCTGATACAAGAAATGCAAACGAGATACTATGATATTATTTATCCACTAAGTATATGACTGTAGGTTCACGGAACGAGCGCATTGGCCATACCCACATAATTTAGAAGGCAAAACACGCAAACTAGTACTTTAGATGAGAACATGATAGTTTCCAATACTTCAAGAGGGATTTTGACCATTTTTTCCTTCTTTTTTTCTTGGAGAAAAATTTCTCAAAAGCATAATGTTGACCACACTATACCTACTACTTTTGTGCTCAGTGCTCTCATTGAGAAATTTAATCTTTAAGCATTGTCGAAAAAGATAACCACTCACTGATTCATCACAGGGTAGTTTCGGTCGTCTCCTTTTTATTTGCGGTAGCACAAGACTATTATGAAATTTGTACTCCGTTTATCACTACTTTTCATTGAAGTACTATAAGGTATGTTTGTGTACGTGTAGGTGAAAAATAAAGGTAACAAAATGACTCTCTTTTTAACACTTCAAGTGTTTATTTGCATGCAACAGTTGCGGGGTGTCTATATTAACTTGCTTAGTGGCAAAATCATAACGAGAGGGTGAAAAAAGTTTTAGTTTCCGAGCTAAACAGGTTTGTTTACTATTTCTTTAATTTTTGGGAAAAATGCTTCTAGCCCCCAAAACAAAAAGAAACATGTCTCCCACCCCCAAGACTTTTTCAACGGGCTCTTTGCCCCCAAAAGTAAACTAATTATTCACTGAGCCCCCAAAACACAAAGCCCAAGAATTTTACACAGGTAAAGACTATAATACCCATTCTACCCATTCTCTCTTTCTCTCTAACCATGCAATCCGGCCCTCTGCTCTCCCTCCTCCTTCCCCCACCTCTCCACCCGCCGCTGCCGCCACCCTCCTCCTACCATCATCGCCTCCTCCGCCGTCGTCGCCGCCCCCAAAACCAACCTTCGCTGCCGATTGATCCACCGCGTTGATCGTTTCTTCGCCGGCGATCCTCGCAACCTTCGCTGCCAATTTAACCTCCCCGCAACAAAGATTCAGCGCCTTGGAGCTCCCCAGGGACACCACCAACAGATCCTCCGCCCCGTCGGTGAAGGGAAACTTCCTCTTATTAGTAAGCACGTGCGTGATTGTAGCTGCCGTCGGATTTCCCATCCCAATCCCCCCTCCCATCGCTTTGATGTTTAGAAAACATCAAAGCGATGTTAAAATTAGGGAAAAATGCTCCGTGAACCCAAATCCGTAAGATTAGAGACTTTTGTCATTTAACACTTTACGATTAGAGACTTTTGTCAATGAAGTTTGAACACAGAAAAGTACTTCTGCTTTGCCTATTACCATTTACCCCTTTTTCTTCTTCTGGTTCTTATATTTGAATCCTCGGTTTTTTTACACTTTTGTCGTAGAAATATTGTTAATTCTCACTTTTGGCACATTGACGATCTGTAAGCAGTGGAAAGGAAAAGCAATAAAAGGTGCCAGATGTGTAAATATAAATCATATGATGTCATAAGTGTAGAAGTCTTTTGAAAGAAAGGGTAAAGTGGCAAGTATCCGAGGTGACATGTATTTATTAAGGGAAAAATGCTTCTAGCCCCCAAAACAAAAAGAAACATGTCTCCCACCCCCAAGACTTTTTCAACGGGCTCTTTGCCCCCAAAAGTAAACTAATTATTCACTGAGCCCCCAAAACACAAAGCCCAAGAATTTTACACAGGTAAAGACTATAATACCCATTCTACCCATTCTCTCTTTCTCTCTAACCATGCAATCCGGCCCTCTGCTCTCCCTCCTCCTTCCCCCACCTCTCCACCCGCCGCTGCCGCCACCCTCCTCCTACCATCATCGCCTCCTCCGCCGTCGTCGCCGCCCCCAAAACCAACCTTCGCTGCCGATTGATCCACCGCGTTGATCGTTTCTTCGCCGGCGATCCTCGCAACCTTCGCTGCCAATTTAACCTCCCCGCAACAAAGATTCAGCGCCTTGGAGCTCCCCAGGGACACCACCAACAGATCCTCCGCCCCGTCGGTGAAGGGAAACTTCCTCTTATTAGTAAGCACGTGCGTGATTGTAGCTGCCGTCGGATTTCCCATCCCAATCCCCCCTCCCATCGCTTTGATGTTTAGAAAACATCAAAGCGATGTTAAAATTAGGGAAAAATGCTCCGTGAACCCAAATCCGTAAGATTAGAGACTTTTGTCATTTAACACTTTACGATTAGAGACTTTTGTCAATGAAATTTGAACACAGAAAAGTACTTCTGCTTTGCCTATTACCATTTAGCATGGCCACACATCCACCACGAGCAAGGGAAATACTACGAATATAGAAAAGCTGGATAATGAACTTCCTTGTATGTTATATCATTCGTCCATAGTTCATGCTCAAAAATAAATAATTGATCCAAAATGATTACAGTATACACCGATAAACAAATAAGCAATAGAAGGCATGATTTTACTAGGACAAAAGGAGTTTGTGTTTGCTTTCCTATGGGTTTACTGGAAAATTAACGAACTTAGAGCTGATATTATTTGCAGGAAGTGTTTTCCCATAATTTTAATGAAATTTTCAAAAGTCAAGTGATTTACGTGTTGGTTGTAGGTTTTACGGGTTGCTTGTTAATGTTACGCGTTGATTGTTAAGGTTACGGGTTGCTTGTTAAGGTTACGCGTTGCTTGTTAATGAAATTTTCAAAAGCCAAGCGATTTACGTGTTTGTTGTTAAGGTTGCGCGTTGGTTGTTAAGGTTACGCGTTGGTTGTTAAGGTTATACACGTTGATTGTGAATGTTACGAGTTGCTTGTTAAGGTTACGGGTTGCTTGTTAAGTTTACGCGTTGGTTGTTAAGGTTATACGCGTCGGTTGTTAAGGTTATACGCGTTGCTTGTTAAGGTTACGAGTTGCTTGTTAATGTTAACCGTAACCTTAACAAGCAAACTGTAACCTTAATAACCAACGTATAACCTTAATAAGCAACCCATAACCTTAACAACCGACGCGTATAACCTTAACAACCAACGCTAACCTTAACAACCAACACGTAAATCGCTTGGCTTTTGAAAATTTCATTAAAATTAGGGAAAATGCTCTGTGAACCCAAATTCGTAAGATTAGAGACTTTTGTCATTTAACACTTTACGATTAGAGACTTTTGTCAATGAAGTTTGAACACAGAAAAGTACTTCTGCTTTGCCTATTACCGTTTAGCATGGCCACACATCCACCACGAGCAAGGGAAATACTACGAATATAGAAAAGCTGGATAATGAACTTCCTTGTACGTTATACCATTCGTCCATAGTTCATGCTCAAAAATAAATAATTGATCCAAAATGATTACAGTTTACACCGATAAACAAATAAGCAATAGAAGGCATGATTTACTAGGCAGAACTTAATTAAAAGGGAAAAATGACCTTAGGAGAGCCCTCCTCACTTATGATACTTATTAGGACCTAAATAAATAAACTAAGAAAAATCCCAAAAAGAACTCCATGTTCTCCTTCCAAAACTCCCTGTTCTCGTAAACCTCCTTCTTCCAGATCGACACCGACGCCTTCACCTCGTTCGATCACAAACCGGCACGCCTCGATCGCGTCGGATCTGTGGACGGCTGATGTCGCGACGAATACGCTGGCCTTGCCGACGGGGACGGTGCCGAGGCGGTGGGAAACGGCGCCGCGGCGGGGGAGCGGACGTGGGCGGTGTCTTGGCGGGGTCCAGGTGGGGGGAGGTGGCGGGGTCCAGCTCTCTCCTCTGCACAAATAAAAAAAGGAAACAAAGGGTATTTTGGGAATATTTATGTTGGTTTTAAACAACATATCACGTGGGGGGTGTTTTGGGGGCTAGAAGAAAATCGCGCAAGTTTTTGGGGGCAAAGAGCCCGTTGAAAAAGTCTTGGGGGGTGGAAGCATGTTTCTTTTGGTTTTGGGGGCTGGAAGCATTTTCCCCTTAATTTTATTATCATTATCCTTTTTTTATTAATGCAATTTAGTTGTCTTTCTGATTGCATCTGGTCTTGCCCTTAGGATTAGTCCTAGCTCCTTCTACTCAGTTGTTGAGGTTATCTCTTCTTGTTTTTCCAGAGAAAAACGTTTTGGGAATCAAATTCACTTGGTATGAACTAAAACCGACCTGTTTTCAGCCCCTGGCTGAAAACAGGTCGGTTTTTGTAAATATTTTCAAAACCGGTCGTTTTTTGCAATTAAAAACCCAAAAGGGTCGGTTTTGAAAATTTGTCCTATGACTCTAGTATTTTCCTTTTTTTCCCTTCTGCGCGCTTTTACTTTTACATATCCCTTTCTTCCTCCCCTACTCGTACCCGAACGATGAAACCCCCCCGCAACAAAACCAGAACCAAATGATAGGGCACGTCAGCTACCATCGAGGCCCGTCAAACCCCTCTCCAAGCCGATTGAAGGCCCGGCAGACAACCTGACGATCCAATGAGCCGCCATTGCCAGGTCGAAGCTCTCCTCACACTACGAGTTCGCGCGACCCGTCGCTGCTCGCCGAGGCCCTAACCCACTCTCCGATCCCGAGCACGCCTCGTACAGCGCCTCGAATTGTCGGCGATGCTGCTCTCTGCCTCGCTTTGACCAACTATTTGTACCTCACGAACCCCGATCTTGGCCCGGGGCCCCTGTCTCTCATCCGAGCTGCCAACATCTCCACCGAGAAGCTCGCACGTGTCGCCGTCAGGCACGGGCTTTATCGCCTGCTTCGCCGGAACTCGCCCAAGCTCGACGAGATGGTATAAAGTTTGATTCTTGATTTCTATTTTTCTGTATTTGGAAAGATAATGTTTTGGGGGAGGGTTTGTGTTTGTTGCGCTACCTAGATCAATCGTAGTTGGTAATTTAGCCTCAATTCTACTACTCATCGACGTTGGTTTTTGAATTATGTAAGGGGGAAACTTGATACGAAGGAATGTGGTAGAATAGAAAAACTGTAATGAAATAAGATGCATCGTTGTACTTGCATTATCTAAACCTCAATTTCACTTTAAATTTCATATTTTTCTTATATTAGAAGCAAGATTCATTAGAGAATACATGGGATTTGAATTTTTTAACCGAAAGAAAGGAAAGGATTGGGACCTTAGACCTTGGCCTGTGTGCAAGGAAAAAAGAAAGTTTGGGGGTTTCGTTTGGAGGGTTGTGGGGAAAGTTATTGAGGTTTAGTGGGAAAACCAAAGTTCAGGTTGAATGGTTTTTTTTGGTGGTGGTTTTTTTGTGGGGGCAAAATTCCCCTTCGTAAACATATATTAAGTCAACGATATTTAATTCATGAGTATTTCTCTGATACTACATGGTTTTTTTACTGATGATTTGAATTTTATTGTACTTATCTCTAATAAAATATTTAGTGATAGTTTTTGTCTAAATAGTGCTTTATGGTATCTTTGTCAAATTTATTTTATTTTTCTAAAATATGCTTTTAAAGCCGGTCCATGTGAAATTCCACCAACTTAATTCTATTCTGGCATATCATAATTGTGTTGTTGTGGCGAAGATGATTAATAGTTAGTATATCAGCAAGGCTACTATGTCAGTCTACGGATGGTTATTAGGAAAAAAGATAGCATAATTCTAATAGACCTAATGAGAACAACTGCTTTGATAGTATGTACTTATTTATAATAAACTAATGTGTATAACGAGAAGTAGAAGGGTCATTCTGCTATGATACGTTTTGTTTATGTTCTTTTTCACTGTTTAAATGACTTTGCTCGAAAAGACATGATAATGAATGACAAGATGCATTTCAATGTTCCCATGCACCAATTTGTCACTTGCAGTCTTTAGCGCTGGAAACAAACATATTGTTTTAGCTTATGCTAGTATTATTGTTTATCTAATAGAAAACGGATCTGCACAATGAGAAGTATAACAATGCTATGTTTTGTCTTTCAGGTGGAGGAGTTTACGCGCATAGTGGAGAGAGAGGGTGAGGGGGAGATGTATGGGCAGCCCTATGGTGGGAGCACGATAAAGGCACCCAAGGTTTTGGCTGACATTGTCGAGAGCATTGCAGCAGCTGTTTATGTGGACTGTAACTTGAACCTGGAGAAGATGTGGATGGTCTTTAGAGGGTTACTGGAGCCAATTATTACAGCAGAGAATCTGGACGAGCAGCCTGTAACAACTTTGTATGAATACTGCCAGAAGAAGGGGAAGGCACTCAATTTCAAGAACTGGAAGAAGGGAAATGTGAATGTCACAAATGTGTTTGTGGACGGAGAGTTGATTGGGATTGGATATTCGGAGCATCAGAACATTGCAAAGCTCAATGCTGCGAGGGATGCAATTCAAAAGTTGGGTGATTTGAAGGGTGAACATGTAGATATGGACATTGGAGGGGAAGAGAGCAATACTGCGAAACATAAGCTGAATGAGATGTGCAGCAAGAAGCACTGGCCAAAGCCGGTTTACAGGTAATATTTGTCAGTTAGTTCTCAAGGTTTTCACAATTATTGCATTGACTCTTGTTTTTTTTCTTTTTTGGATTTCTATATTTGTGGTTGATAGTTGTTTTACTTGAGTTGCATTAGCTAGTTTTCATAAAAGCTTGGAATCGAACGCTTAACCTCTAGCTAATTATATGTTTGTTTCATTAATCTCATGTTAATGAACCATGGGAGACGTGTTAAGCTTCCTCTTTGGAAATGAAAAAAAGAAAGATGTAAAGTAAAAGATTTAATGTGTGATATATTATATGGTAAATTATTACATATGGTAATTAATTACTATCGTTGCATATGAATGTTTTCCTTTTCAATTAATTTGATGACACAATTATCCGCAAGCCATTACACCATTTTTTTAACAAGAGGTACCGACCCCTGCCTAGGCCTAAGCAGTTCCTAGACTACCCGCTTAATTCTTGAGAGCACCTAGACGAACATGGGCTGCTTATGTGGACTCACTGTATCAGAAAGGTTTTATTGCCCGCTTAAGCATATCAACAGGTGAACAGAATGGGTCAGATTAAAATAGATCAGATAGAACTTGATCTAAGTTCATCTCAGATAAAATGTTGGGGATAGAAAATTTTTAATCTCTGAAAAAAGAATTTCCTTTCTCCGTGCTCCAAAAATGCCTACATGCCCCTTAGGCACCCACCAAGGGCCAAGGCGCTATGTTCGGCCTTAGAAGCACTTAGCGCTTTCTAAACATTGCATTATGCAGATGCATGTAGCAAATGATGTTTCAGTCTCTTTAGGTTCATGCTACAATGTGCTTCACTTGTACTTACGCGTATTCCTCAACCTGCAATATATATGACCTACCAATAAGCCATTGGTATATTACTATCATACTCATCTACTATAGACCCCCTCAGCTACACTACCTCACCATATGCTATTTGATAACACCGCTAGGTACTAATATATCAGTAGCCTAATATCAATACTATATACGCGTATTAACCCTATAGCTACACTACTCACTTTAGACGTACAGTACTAGTACATAAAGAACCTACACATTACTGATAGATAGAATATATCATAGGCCTAACTAAGATATAACCCTTCACTAGTACCCATATAGTAATTATAACATATATAATATATATAGTATCTAACGCTAACCTAATATATACAACACTATACCGCTCATGTCTAGTTCTTTGCTTACTTCTATTTACTTCTTTCGATTCTATATTATACAATTCTCGTAGTTTTCCGGAAAATCACAGTATTTATCTGGATTTATGCATTTTCATGGATGCCTTGTGAGTCGTGCGGGTTTTGAGTTCAGAGTATAGATCAGCTACGAAACTCTGGTTCGGTTCGAGAACACCGGTAGTCCCTGTGAAGGCCAGGCGCAGCGCGCTAACATCTGCCCCCCGCCCCCCCCCCCCCCCCCATATCCAACCAATGGTGGGCGCCTTGCAGAATGGCGCTTCTTATTCAAAATCGTCCTCAGGGCCCCTGCTTCTCCCGCTCCTCTACAGCGACTCTAGCATTTAAAGCTTCCAACATTGTTATGTCAATTGTCAATACCTTGTCATATAATGTCCTTCATTATTCTATAAGGCGGCATGGGTCTCCACTAGACACTTGCTTTGTGGACACTGCCCCCAGGCCTCCACGATTTGGCCTGGGCTCTGCCACTTGGGCGCCTAGGCAGGCACTTTGCTTTGATGGTTCTCTTAATTGGCGACAACAATGAATATTTATATTTGTCGGAAATGACTATTAGACTCATTGGAGATGGCAAGAGGGAGTCGTTGGCAATTAATTGATGATGAAGAGAGGAGACATGTGGTGACAGCTAGGTTTTTTAATGGGTAGATGGGGCTTTGAGATTCACATGAGAGAATCATGGCTGGCTTGGGAGAGAAATTGTCGAGATTGGTTTAGTTTATTGGGTTTAAGCTTTTTTTTCGAAAAAAATTCAAAATACAAACCTAAACCCAATGAACCCAAACCATTCTTTACAATTTCTATATCAAGCCACCTCCCATCCCCCTTTTTCTCACGTGAATCACTGTTCGGTTAAAAACCTAGATCTTTGTTTGCCTCCTGTCTTGTCTCTTCACCGCCAATTATTTGCCGGTGACTCTCATCGAAGAAGTTAGATTTTTAATTTTTTCTTCTTTATTAATTAAAATTATCTCTGCCCTTAATTTTCTTTTATTTTCAATTAAATAAATTAAAAGTACTGGATATAAGAAAGTGTTCAAGTTGGTGCCTTGGCATTGGTGTCCCTCTTTTATATCTTTCTTTTTTAATAATAATTAAATCTCATAGTTCATACACAGTCATATTTTCAGCGCATCTGTTTTTCAGTTACTTGCTACTTCAATCCTTATTATATATATCATTTTGTAGTGATAAATTTGAATATTTGGTCTGTGTCTTGCATAAAGTCAAGTGCCCAATTAAGGCTAAATTAATATCAGAAGTTGGTCGAAATTACTCCACCTTGGGATATATGATTAGAGATAAGAGTTAATGTTGTAACAATTCCATCGAAAATTGTCTTGGCCTATAACGATCTTACTAGATCACAAGTTTCCATTTTATAAAGACGTATGATCCCAGTAGGTGGACTACAAAATGAAAGAATTATCTAGGTTTGCATGTGATAACTACTTGTGATTGGTGTGAAGTTCACTTCGTTAAAACATATTTTCACACAGCTGTATAGTTATGATTCATATTTCTTATATTAACTGTGTTTGGATGGTGAACTATTGGTATTATGGAAGAATGTATGTGTGCGTGGTGTTTTTGGGGCAAATTTTATGAATATGAGATAATAGTGAGTCCTATTAAACTGCTTGACATTTGTTAGGTGCAAGCAATGCCCTGTTATTGAGATGTGCTCGTCTTGCTTCATAGGTAACGATTGAGTTTTTTTTTTGGGGTTGGGGGTGGGTGGGGGTTAAAAACACTCTCATTTATATTCTTTATGGTCTCATCCCCAACTAGTTCAGGAAGTAAAAACTAGTTGGTAAAGAGAGCAATTAGGGCAAAAGGAGATAAAATGGGGTATTGAAAGAGAAGAACCCATCCAACCCATGTGAAATTGTTTCATATTTTTGTTGCGACTATGATGGTTTAGTAGTTTCATGGTTTCAGTAAGTATGATAAAATTAAAGATAAAAAATATCATATACATTATAACCTGCACCATCATGTTTCACCCTAGACCTCTAGCAGGCCCTCAGACCCTCGCTACTCTCCCTCACAAATAACTCACTCTAAAGTCGTGGTGAGGGTTGAGGGTATGGATGTTAAACAAGTGGGTGGGGATGGTATACTACAGAAATTTCACTAAGGTTGAACTTTATCCTAATGAACTTCTTTGTGTTCATGTTTGGTATGCTACTAAAATTTCACTAAGATTGAAATTTAGGGTTAATTATAGAAAACCCCCTAAAACCCCCATGAGCTTTTAGGGGGTTGCAATAAACCCCATTAACTTTTTTTATTACAGTAAACCCCGTTGAACTTTAGGAGTTGTGCACATAACCCCCATGAACTGTTTTATTTCACTAAGTTCACATAAAATTTCTCATTTAATCTCCAAATTAACATCAGTTCTAACATCTCATGTGCCAAGTTTGTGCCAAAAAAGATGAAATTGATTCCTTAGTCCCCCCCAAAAAATTACCTATTCTTTCTTAATAAAAGGGTATTTTTTTGGGACTAAGAAGGAATTTTTCATTTTCATTTTTGTCCTATGCTTGCTAGTGACACGTTAGAGTTAAGGAAAAATTGTGTCAAGACCCAAAAAGTAATAACTTCATGTGCTGCAGCCCTTAAATTGGAGATCTATGTGCTGCAGCCCTTCTTTAGTAATTATTCCTTAACAACTAAGCATAGAGAGAATAACAAATAAAAAAATCCTAAAATGCCCTCATCTCTTCCATTCTTTTCTCTCCAAATCTAATGGCCATGGCTTCTCATTCTTCCTCTTCTCTAACACATCTCCTTCCTTCTCTCCCCCTTTTCCTCCTTTTTTTCTCAGACATCGACATCTCCCTTCGCCACCACCGAACTTAGGTGCACGCTCCAGCCATATTGTTGATCCGGAGGTATATATTACATAGAAAAAACTCAATATGATTCTTTTTTTTCTCCCACTAATTTCTCCCGCTCTCTTTCTTTTCCCCCCAAAAGCAAAACAAGTCCAAATTTAGTCGGCAATGGCAGTGCCAATGGCGAAGCCCTTGAATTCATCAAAGTTCTCGTCGGAAGATCCGTCAAACAATATATCAGTCTCCGACATTAAAGGCGAAGAACGAGGCGGAGGAGATGGTGTTGGAGGATGGTGAAGCCCTCGAATTCGTCGAAGTTCTCATCGGAGGATCCGTCAAACAATATATCTGTCTCTGACACTGAAGGCGAAGAACGAGGCGGAGGAGATGGTATTGGAGGAGGACGACGAGGAGCTCGTGTGTTAAGTCTAATGAAATTCATAATTTTTGTTTGAACATCGTGAAAAGATGAAAATTTAAAGAAATGCCGGCTAAATATGATTTTTTGATGATTTTTTATGTTAAGTTTAAATCCAAGGTGAAACATTAAGTCTAATGAGTTGAAAGTGAAGTCCAAGGGCTTGCATACTAAGTCTATTGGGTTGAATAATAAGTTCAAATGATTGTATGTTAAGCCTATTGGGTTGAATAATAAAAATTAATTTATTGAATATTAAGTGTAATGGATTATATGTTAAGTCCAATTTGATTCATGTTAAGTCCAATCTGACTCATGTTAAGTCCAATCCGGTTCATGTTAAGTCCAATCCGGTTCATATTAAGTCCAATTTAAATCATGTTAAGTCTAATTCGGTTTATGTTAAGTCTAATTTGGTTCATATTAAGTATAATTCGGTTCATGTTAAGTCCAATTTAAATCATGTTAAGTCTAATTCAATTTTAAGTCTAATTTCATGTTAAGTCCAATTTAAATCATGT